CAATAGAAGCAGATTGCTCAATCGGAGTCTGATCCTGGAAGGTGCTGAGCATGCTCCCCTCCCACTGAAGTCAGTGGGGTTCAGTGGGACGGGTGGGCACTGAGAGGGCTGGATCCTGTAAGGGGCTATCACTGATGTCCCATGTAGAAACATCACAGCTGACATAACCAACTTGATTAATTCTTTGACCGACACTTAATAACTGCAGTGAAGGAAAACCCACTTTCCAGGTGGGTGCGGCCATTTGTCAGCCTGATTAAGGGTGACTGGAAGGAAAAGATCATTGTAAAAAAGAGAAACAGGTGCAGTAGCATTATTTATTTAATCCCTATATTGCCTTCTAAGTTTTAGGGGACCATTTAGTAAATGGGAGATAACCCTATACTATGTGACTTGTACCCACAGAGATCTATTACTTTTGCTATCAGCTTAATTTCTGGCAAGTGTGCTCCCACTAAATGCTAGCAGATCAAACTGATTGGCTGTTAGTTAAAATGAGAAATTTACCTTAAAATGTTTGGATATCAGTGTATGGCAGATAAGAAAAACATCCTTGCAGCTGGAGGGACCATGCTTGGCTATATTATATAATAGCTATCTACATAATCCCTTTGAACAGTGTTATGTAAAATGGAAGGAGGTATCAGAGCAGCTGCGTACCACACATCTGGGAGAGAGGAGTTTTGACAGCACGCCCTCTGTGTTCCATGAGAGGTTCAGAGAATTTGTTTGACAGCAGTACAGAGGTGTTATGTAAAGTGAATAGCATTAGGAGCCAAGCCTCTACAACATTATTAGAGATACAAATAGCTATTTATTGAGCATCAATTGTTTGTTCAATGCTCTGCACACTTGGGGGGAAATACATGATCCTATAGATAACACTGGAATAAAGTAAATACAGACAGCTTGATACATTAATTGTCCAGGCTTCAAGGGATGCTGGTCTCGTCCATGCATGCATGGCTTGAGGAGTTAAAGCTTATGACTCATTGTTTTTTAAGGGCTGACAGTATGCTCAGTGAAAGGTGTAATGGGAGAAATTAGCTTTAAGGAAGGATTTGAAAGGGGAGAGTAGCAAGGGGCCCGATCCTCTGAAGATCTGAGCCCTTCGTAAATATCTTGCAGCATTGGGTCTGAGAAAGGAGAGGAATTTGATTGACCTTTGAGAGAAAGAGGGCAATGTGTTTACTATGGAGTGCACTTTGTGATGGGAGGGGTGTTCTGAGCTCCCTGCTCCCAAAGGCCTGGACTGTGGTGCCTTTCCCTCAGGCATAGCGGGCTGGCATCTGGCCAGAGGGAGCTACTAGAAGCTGACAAGAAGCACAACACCTTTCATCGGTTCCATGCTGCCGTGTGAGATACTGCTACTCTCTGGAAAACATGGGGCATCTTTTTCCTTCCCTGTCCTATTGCCCCTCTTTCCTCTCTGCTCCTTTCTCACCCTCCTTCTCTGCCACCTCCCCATTGAATAAACTTTGTGTGGATGCCTCCCATACCACCAGGTGATTGATGCTCTGCCATCAGAGCAGAGTACAGATTACAGGGAGTATAGGAGACCTGAATCAGTGGTGCAGAGCTACCCGCTGTTCCCATGCTCTTGAATTTAAAGGGAGTAAGATATGTTACACAGGCAAATGGCCAAAAAGCAACAACAACCAGAATCATCCACCAATTCTAAGATAACGGAAATATGCAGGGCACGTACTCCCCTTTGGCTGAGGTCATTCACGGTGCCTCTTTTCTTCTCCTTCATGTGAGGAGTTTTGTAAAAATTTTGCATAATTTCCCTTTTCTGAGTATCGATTTACTTATATTGCATATTTGTAAAACAGACATAACTGTTCACGCTCATGATGTAGTGCCGGAGTTTCAAAAGTGCTCTGCTCCCATTTAAGCACCAAAATAAATGGCCGGATTTTCAAAAAAGCTCAGCACATTGTGTGATGGTCTCTTTTTGAAATTTTGTCCCACAGTGGAAGATCCTGAGTGCTGAGCTCTTGGCAATCTGGTCCTTAGCGTGAAGACACTTACAGTGGATCTAGTTAGCATTAAAATCGAATTAAAATTAATCTTCATTTTTATTAAGAATTAAGGACAATAGCAAAAGTGATTTTGAGAAAAGTAAATCTGCTTTCGCTTTCCCTCCATTTTGTCAATCTATTCCCTTTCCTTCTGAAAACTGAAGACCAGAAGGTGTGGGGTATTTTTTTTTAACCATTTCTTCTGAAAATTCTCATTACTAAGCAATTCTAGAGCTTAGTTGACATGTCTGTTACATTGTTTCTGTTTTGACAAAGTTAATTAGCCACTTCTCACTGCATTATAGTATTAATTTAGATGGTAGATTAAATCTCTCCAAGAACCTGTTTTATATTTCCATAGTGAAATTGCTTCATGCTTTTTTATACAAAGTTCCCCCCTCCCCCATCTTACCTAGCAGTCATGCTTCAAAAAGTCTGTCATTCTCTAGGCTTTAACAATGGTTTAATCATTTTTTTGTAGCCTAACATGAATAATGAAAGAAAATATTAAATCTGATCATTTACTTTTAACACACTGTTTGGATAGCAAACATGACCTATCATGGTCTGGAAAACCTAGCAGCTAGTGGAGAGAACATGCATTCTTTGGTTACACCTGCAACTCCCATTTGAATTCAGTGGAAGTTGAGGATACTTAGCACTTTAGGGGAGTGGGCCCTTATCAATGTATGGCAGGACCTTGCCCCAGAGAAGTAAATGGGAGATCTTCATTTGACTTGAAGGCTCAGGGCAACTTGCTTTTCTGGCTATGTATCACTGGAATTTTTTTATCATGTAGTACAGATGTCCACTCGTAACAAAAAATATACAGATTGTTACCTTTGATAAAGTACTTATTAATCTTTATTTTATTATTTCAGGAAGCTGAAGCATTGGCGAAGCAGCAAGCATGAATTTCAACTGCCTTAAATGTTCTGTAAACGGAACTTCCACAGCTTTTTATAAAATAGAAAATTGTCTCTGCTTCAAGAAAAATAGATTTAATTTCTAACATTTTGATTGGTGCTTGCAGCATCCACGGTACATGAATATAAATTTGAACACGGTGAATATGGGAACATTAGGGTAGAGAGCATGGAAGACACTATTGCAAAGTTGGAAGCATAGGTAACTGAATCAATTAGAAATGATTGATTTAAAGTGGTTTAAACTATGTCTGGGCAATTGATCCATTTTTGTAAACTTAAAGAAAACCTATTTTAGTACTAATTATGCAGATAAACTTACACCTAAAGATCCAGCTATTTAAACATAGGAGAAAACGAGCAACAACATAAAACCTTATCAAATAACTCTAGTGCCTGAATTGCCTCAAATATTCTTGAACAATACAAAAATACAGTAACTTCTCAATGTCTTTTTAAATTGTGGCTTAAAATGAAATTCTAAATGTTGTGTAGCGTAGTAACCATTGTAATCGCTTATGGAAATTATGACATTTGTTCTTTTGTAGAATGAAGATTTAAAATTGTATTGTAACACGTTGTACAGATCTTAAAAAAATTTTTGCCATGTATTTCTCATTTAAGCGACCAATGTGGGGGGCCTTTTCCACAAAAAAGAGATTGAGCAGTGGATAACATTTCCATTGGCAAGTTCACCACATAGCTCTCTAACCATGACTTGATTACATGTTTGTGTGCTAGATTTAGTGCACTTCAATGAAATACAGTATGGACTAATTCCTAGGCAGTATCACAAATAAGCCAAAATGGCCAGAAATGGCATTTCCTTACATGTGTAAGAGCTAAAGCCTTTAATGTAATATTCTACAAGGTCACATTGTTTATAGTTTTAGGCATTTGGTCGCATGTTCTAGAGGTTACTAGTTGCATATAATAGTTTTTCATATGGGGATCTAAAAGTAAATGTTTGAGTTGTAACAAGTATTGTAATTGAGTGGAGGGGGGGGGGGGTTCTTTCAAGTTTTAAGTTGATTTGTATTGCCATGGAATTAGTGAATCCTATTAAAGAACAGCATTCTGTATCAGTGAATTCACCAAGTGCAATATTAACCCATTCCATGCCTTAGGTATACATCAGTTATTTGGCAAAGGGGAATTCACGTAGCCTGCATATTATGGCCATCCACTGGAAAATCATGAAGACTGATTTAAAATCCTAATCATAGGTGCACCTGATGTGGTAAGGAGTAGTTTTAAAATTTACATGTGTGATTTTTAAATATCTTGCACAGTATAAATCACTCTTACTTCCTGAATGCATCGACACCATAAATCCTGTAGTTGTGGGGGCATTCTACAAGCACAGCACAGCACACAAATTTTATTTTCATCTGCTTTATAACATAGAAACAGGTGGTATAGATCAGTAAAAGACTTACAAAGGTTTTATGCCGCTTGCAAACTGTAGCATATCATGGCCATTCAGTTACTTATACTGATGCAATAAAAGTTATGTAGTGCTTTAAAATGCTTGCTGAGACATTTATAATTCTAAGATCCAAAATTAGTGACAGGATAGAAGTAAAGACTTAATTATACTCTACAACAGAATAATTAAATATTTTCCTCTTGCCAACATATTTCTTTTGGGCTCTGCATTTCCCCAGCTGCAAGACGTGTCTTCATCAACAACTAAATAAGTAGCAGAGAAATGTTTTTCCTTGCACAGTTGTGAGAGCAGTTTGGCTCCCACACAGTGAATGGCAAAATCCCCATAGATTTCAGCATGAGCAGGACTGGGCCTGTAATGGTGTTTGGAACCTAGCTAGTTACATTAGCATTTAGTCCATGGTTTTTCTAATTTTGAGCCTGGGAATAGACATTTTGTAGTTTCTGCTTACAGATGCCTGACCCTTGTCCCTGTGTATATGAAAGTAGGACAGTTAAATGTTGCCTAATCTTCAGGATGAACCCATAGCATATTTTGTGCTTTCTCTCTAGAAGGCTTACTATTAATTGCTGGGGAGGGGAGGAGACTATTATTGGGTTTTTTATTTTTGTTGTTTTAAATCAAGTGTCTGCCTTTCATGATTCAGCATGACTTAGTCTTTTTATATAAGATCTCTGGTATTATTGGCAGTATCTCTTCTATCCCTAGACCTACTAGATGCGTTTGAGGAAATGAATAAGAATATTGAAAGGAGTTTTGTGAAGAAAATGGAATTTGACACACAGGTTGCTATACTCCTGCTGATTCGCTGTGTTTCCTGTGTAAACAAAATGTGGCATTACTTTTTGTGAATTGCATCCATTATTTGAAGAAGCTATAACTGAAAATTATTGCCAAATTTTGTCAGCTCAGTGACACAAAACATTCTGAAACAAGGTCATCTCTATTTCTGATCTTTGAGAAAGTTGCCAAGTTTTAAGAAAGCAATGTCCATTCCCCCTTCCAGACCCTCTTCTTTGCCAGATGGTAACACTCAAACTGCATCTGCATTCCTGAGGAAGCAGTATGAAGACAGGGATTGGCTTATTTTTTCTGGTGTCTGGGGGACAAAGCATGAACATAAACTGAAAAATATCTAAGTGGTCTGTTCTTGTTTTGGCCTGTATGTAGAACTCACAGTAGTATTAATGTAGATTTCATGCATGTGTTTAGGAGTGACAGAGGTGAGAATATACCTGTGTGGTGTTCTCAACATATTGGTTCTGTGGTTCACATTACTATGTTTTTAGGTCAAACATGGATGTTGCTTCTTAAGAAGAACTTGTTCATTTCTTCTTGCCCCTGTCTTTTTTTCTGTATAGAAGGTAAGGTGATGAGGCATCAAACTCTCTTTCTTACTAATTATTGATGTATCATTCCAATAAAATTGTTTTAGAATGTTTTTTCATTATATTAGTTTGATTTTTGTTGGGTGTTTTTGGCTTGGTATTTTCAGTGTTGGAAAGGATCCTCTTTGTTTAGCTTGCAAAGCAAATCTGAGTATATTCAACCAAAAGAGTTGCTTTAAAATTTCAGTATCTGTAGCAGCCACAAAATTAATGCAGTGAATACATTCCCCTTCCCTCCCCCCGATTACTATTAATTCATGTTAATAGTTTCGTGCCCTGTTGCTGGAATTAAGCTTATTAGTCTCATTGATGTATTCACACCACTTAAATGAGCTGTGTTAGAAAATGTGTGTCAAATATAGTTTTTACCCCACATCTACACTCCCTCCTCAAACTGATGTTGAATCTAATTGATCTAGATCCCTGGTTCTCAACCAGGGGCACGCGTACCCCTCGAGGTACGCAGATTTTCAAGGGGGTACATAAGCTCATGTAGATATTTGCCAAGTTTTACAACAGGCTATATAAAAAGCACTAGCGAAGTCAGTACAAACTAAAATTTCATACAATGACTTGTTTATACTGCTCTGTATATTGAAATATAAGTACAATATTTACATTCCAATTGATTTATTAATTATATGGTAAAAGTGAGTGTGTCAGCAATGTTTCAGTAATAGTGTGCTGTTACACTTTTGTCTTTTTATGTCTGATTTTGTAAGCAAGTAGTTTTTAAGTGAGGTGAATCTTGGGACGTTATGCAAGACAAATGAGACTCCTGAAAGGGGTACAGTAGCCTGGAAAGGTTGAGCACCACTGATCTAGAGTGTATGGATAAGTCAACCGGCTTCACCTTTTGTAGTAAAGCTTGTTAGACAACCTAGCCTGCTTTGCCACAGTGGATATTGAACTCGGTTGAACCTATCTATAAGGGTGGGACATGTTCATACTTGTTGCAGGAGGGACAGTGGGTCACATGTTTGATGTTACATTAAACTAAAACATAGTTCATTTTTGTAATATGGCAATTGCTGCAGTGATACTAAGTAGGTGGGACAGAAATCTAACATTCACCTTTATTTAGAGGTTCTGTATTTATATCAGCTCTGTAAGATAATAAAAAAATTATTTGTCTTGGGGCCCAATCCTCCTATCTGTATACATGTGAAAGTCCTGTTGAGTTCAGTGGCAGTTTTGAGTTTGAATCTGACAAGATCAGGCTATATAGATGCAGCTTCAGAATGAAGTTCCCTGGTAAAAGAACCCTCCTTCAAGCAGATCAGGAAACAACATATTAAGGGCCTGGTCCTGCAATCCTTACTTATGTGAGTAACCCTGATTCATAAAAGAGAGCTAATAGGAGTCAGGATTTCCAGGATTGAGTCCTAACTCACTGCAGTTCTAATATCTGATCTGGCTGGTTGATTCAGTAGCCAAATAATAGCTCTCAGAGGGTCTATGTGCTTTGCATGTTCAGTTATTAAACCAGCTAGCAATCTTTCTACATGATGCTATAGAAGCACTAAACTGAATTCCCAACCATAAATTGTACTGTACATTGTCACAAGAATTCCAGACTCTATTCACGTGTTTTCAGTTGAACTATTATTTGTATGTGTGTGTTTAGGTTTTTAAAGAATGTTTTTGAATGAGGAAAGGGCATATTTACTACCTATTTATAGGATGAACTTTTTTCTTGTTTCTAAAACAGAATAAAGCAGAATTGGGAGCAGTTATCACAGTTACTGTCATGTCTTTGAATAGTGTCTTAGTTCTGTTGTATCTTCCACTCTCACTTGCCATTATTTGGTATTTTAATAAGTGGTCCATAATGTCATCTAGGAAAAGTGTCTTTTGTGGTCTCTCATCACAAGGAATCCCATTTGCTTTTACCTTATATGTTTCACTTATATAACACAGATTCATTTCATGTTTTGTTTACTGTTTTAAAAATTTAGTCTTAAAAGCAAAGAATATTGTTACTCAGAAATGCAAAGCTCTTCAATAAAAAATGAATTCCAAAAATCTGCAATAAAAACTGCATGTCTGCATTTAATGTTTACTTAACTTGCTGTTTCAGGTTACAGTGGTGTGCACTGTAATAATAAATTTTTACTATACACAGTTCTGTTCATTTTTTTTTCCATATTTTGTTGTTGAAGCATTTCAGTGTCATGTACTCATTACTCAGTTATTTGGAAATATACTGGGAACTGGAATGCCTCTGCAGTGTTTATTGCTAATTTAATCCATGTTTAACTTGGATGTAGAGGAGCCCTTGCTAGCAGTTTATTAGGGGTTATGAATTTTGTGGCTATAGTTTCACTGCAGAGTTAACTTGAGTTATCTACACTCAAGTTACTTCTCTCAAGTTAGTCTACTTTGAGTGAAAGTGGTCAGTCTGCAAAATAACAGTTGAGCTGCTGTGTCCACACTGGCGCTGCAGTCCCTCGGGTGTTGCACTAAGACTTCTGGGGGAATATCCCAGAGTCTTTCAGTAAACTGAGCTGGTCTATGAATACTTTCCCAGTGAAGTGTGGGAGAACTTGTCTGTCATTTCTGGGTACACTTGGGGTACAGTGGGAAAGCATTGGAGGACTAGTAGCACTCCAATGGAAGCAGCCTGTATCCACACTACACAGTGGCTATGTTAGCAGCTGAGCAGTACTAACTTAAGCTTTAGACTACAATCCTCTTTATAACAGAAGACAGTTATCAGATTCCCCCATCACTCTTCTTTTCTCAAGATTTAACATGCCAAGGGTTTTTTTTAACTTTCCTCCTAGGACAAGATTTCTAAACCTTTTATCATTTTTGTTACTCTGCTCCAGTTTCTAATTTGTCCACATCTTTCCTGAATTGGACACAGTACCCCCACTGAAGCCTCACCCATGCCATTTTGACAATTAAATTACCTCCTGTCGTACTTACAACACTCCTGTTTATACAGGGGGTAGCTATGTTAGTCTGTATCCACAAAAACAACAGGGAGTCTGGTGGCACCTTAAAGACTGACAGATTTATTTGGGTATAAGCTTTCGTGGGTAAAAAACCCATTTCTTCAGATGTATGGAGTGAAAATTACAGAAGCAGGCATTATTACACAGTATAATAATGCCTGCTTCTGTAATTTTCACTCCATGCATCTGAGGAAGTGGGTTTTTTACCCACGAAAGCTTATGCCCAAATAAATCTGTTAGTCTTTAAGATGCCACTGAACTCCCTGGTGTTTTTGTGGATACAGCTCATGTTAGCCTTCTCTGCAACTGCATCATATTGACTCAATTGGTGATCCACTCTAGCTCCCAGATCCTTTTCAGCAGTACTACCACCTAGTCAATTATTCCCAATTTTGTAGTTATGCGTTTGATTTTTCCTTCCTAAGTGAAACACTGTGCACTTATCTTTATTGATTTCCATCTTCTTGATTTCAGATCAATTCTCCAATTTGTCAAGGACATTTTGGATTAGTTCTCTCGTCCAAAGTGCTTGCAACGCCTCCCTGCTTGGTGTCATCCACAAATTTTATAAGCATACTTTCCACTCTACTATCCAAGACATTAATGAAAATATTGAACTGTACTGGACTTAGGACTGACCCGCATGGGGTCACAGTAGATATGTCCTCCCAGTTTGACAGCAAGCCACTGATAACTACTCTTTGAGTACGGTCTTTCAACCAGCTGTGCACCCACCTTATAGTAATTTAATCTAGACCACATTTTCCTAGTTTGTTTGAGAATGTCATGTGGGATTGCGTCAAAAGCCTTACTAAAATCAAGATATATCATATCTACTGCTTTTCCCCTACCCCCATCCACTGGACTAATACCTCTGACAAAGAAGGAAATTAGGTTGGCTTGGCATGATTTGTTTGATAGCTTTTCCTTATAATTCATCATGCTGTTCCCTAATTTAAGTGAGACCTCCAAAGAGAGGGGAAAGTAGGTTTTACCATTTTTTGGCTTAAGATAAATATAGAGCGAGAGAAGTTTATTTTGTGTTTGTTTGTTTCAGCATTAGTACCCTGACACTCTGTGGATGAATGGACAACTATGAGGTTTGACATAAATACCAAAGAAATTAAATCTGATTAATTGAGAGGAGAAGTGATTTTTATTCAGGTTATTTAAAGCCTCTTTACCTAAAATACTTAATGGAAAGGCTCTTCATAAGGATTCAACACCATGCCTGTTAAATTCCACTACAGCTGGCTCTGCATTTGTGGCCTCATGCCCACACCCCTTTCAAGTTTGAGATAAAGTCACAGGTTTGGTTCTGCTGTGATCCACAAAGCTCCTGACAAACCCAGCTGGCACTTAAACTCACTGCACTACAGAGTCATTCTCTCTCTCTCTGTGGTCCAATGACTGTTCCACTCTGGATATATACTTCAATAGGCACTGGACCAGAGAGCAAGTGTGGGAGGAGAGAATGACCTTGTGGTTTAGTGGTTAGGGCACATACATGGAAGGTAGGAGACCCCAGCTCCAGTCCCCCTGCTCCACTCCCCTGCTCCAATCACTCCTCATCTATCCACAGTGGAACAGCTTCAACGAGTGAGACTAATGTTTTCCAAGAAAGGGAATATATAGAATATGAAAGTAATTCTATGTGTCGTAATAGTAGGATGCAGTATTGTCCCATGGTGGAAGAAAGATGATATGAGGTAGTACTACCAATAGAAAAGAATTGCAGTTAAACCAAAAACAATTATTACTATACTCATTACCTTTTATTGAATGTCCCACATAAATAAAACTGCTCAATGAATATAACAATATAATCTTTCTACGTATGCTGTATTAGAAAAAAAGATTACCTCATGCCAAAGGTCTAAAGAAGATATGTATGAACTACTTTGTTTAATAAAAGACCCCTCAGAAACATGGAAAACAATGTAAGTTGGCTTTCAGAACAAAAGAGGTTTAGAAGCCTTTAGGACATCTATCTTCTAGTTTGGTTGAAAAACTGCTTTCGAATGGTACAATGTGTAGTCTATCAAAGAAGACCTGAATCTGCTATATTTTAATATTAAAACACAAAAATACATAAGATTTATTTACCCTGAAAATGAACAAAACAATTAAGAAATAAATATATTTAGTAGATTTGGTTCCTAAAGAATTGTTGGAGTTCAGATCTGGATACACCCGTTAGACAGTAATTTCCTCTCTTGCAGGCTTGTCTATTGATGCCATCTTCAGAAACTTCCAAACTTCTTCATTTTCAGTTGCTTCATATAACATCTCAAAGTCCTAAAAGAAATGCAAATATATGTGCTAATGGCATTAAATTCCAATTCTGTTTTTGTAAAACCTGATACGTATGTGAACTTTCCCAGCAGTAACACCTGCACACACTGGCAAGATTGTTTTTGTCTTGCACAAACAACATTCTAACATATTCCAATTCATAACTGTGATATGAAGATTTCAAAAAGTGTGACCATCTGCATTTAGTGCACACACAAATACCTAATGCCAAATCCGTGGTCAGTAAATACTAGCCATCTCCTTATTCCCAACAAATTACAAGATAACTTGAAGGAAATGGACCTTTAGGACTAACCATTAACAGTGCCATGTCCATGATAAAAGCCTACCGCATAAAAAAGCATATTACAATTTGTTTTGTATAACATCTTTCATACAGCAGTATTGCTAAATACTTCAGGCCAAGTCTTTCCTCTGTTACAGCTGTGTAACTCCCGATGAACAGAGTTGGAGTTTCACCCACCTAAATAAGGGTAGAACTTAGTTTCTATGGCTTAATCTTGTTTCTGATTGTACAAGAAGGAAAAGCATGCAGAGAGCCACTAAGGCCTTGTCTACACTGGAATTTAGTCATTGATATAGATTCACTGATAACGAACCTCTAGTGAGATTTACACTGCGGAAACTTACCCTGTCTGAAACTCGGTAAAATGTATTTGCAGAAATCATCTACACTGGTGTTTTGCATCAGTGCAGCCACACTGGTGCCTATCCCACTGTAGACCAGACCCAAAGCTAGCACAAGCAACCTTGTATGTGATGTAACTGGCCAGAAACAAGCCCAATTAATATTCTGAGGCATGCAGTATGGCTTAAGGGATTTGGTTTGCTGAAAAATGACATGGCTAGCAACTCCTGCAGAACTCCTTGTGAACAAGGTGCTCTCAGTAGTATCTGTGCTGCCATTCACTGTGCTCACTGGAGGAGGCAGTATTCAATCCCTAAAATGCATGGTCATAAAAGTTTGTCTTTTTAAAATACTGTTATTGTATTTATCTGATAGCTGAAGTGAGTTAGCATGCAAAAGTCATTCAAGGCATGCAAAATTCTCCACAAACATACTTATTGTATACCTTATTGTTTAAAAACAAAATCTAGATTTTTTTTTCTTACTCCGCAGTAGTCATCACCATTGAATATCTGAGGCGGTACTGCATTAGGATTACCAGCCTTTGCCCTCATCTCTTGAAGCAGATGTTCACTGATGGATACATCTATTAACTCATACTTTGTTTTGTTAATGTCCAAAATTCGAGTAACTTCTGCCTGTTTCTGCTTCACCTAGATAAAAAAGACAAATTTTAAAAACAGGCTATTATTCCTGTTAATGGCCCCATTTATTTTAATTTTTTTTAAATAACCCCCTTACACTGAAATATTCTACCTAAATAGCTAATCAAAAATAAATTAGGAAAGCTCATGTGCAGTATATATTGCTCAGATTTTTCCCTTTTAAGTTGTTTTATTCAGACTGGAACTTGGCACGCATGCTCTCAGCCTGCGAAAGATTTGTATTCAAATATTTTTAACAAAATTAGTTGAATATTTTCAGGTTTCAACGAATCATTTAAGAACCTTATGGGGGTCAGAGATCCCATCTCTTCATGGTGGGTGGGTGGTGAGGGTGCAGCCTTTGTAGGTGGGAGGATCCTATTTCACTGCTCACCATGTGGGGGTGGGGGAAAGACATGTTCAAGTTGGGTGGGAGGTTAGGATGGTGCTGCCTTATGTGGGTGCTGGAGCCATGCTTGATGCTAGCAGTGACTATGAAGTTGGAAGGAGGACCCCTCTTGGTTGTGGTGGGTGGATGGTAAAGTACCTCTTGGTGCTGGTGGGTGGGTGGAGGTGCAGCCTCTCATGTGGAACTGGGACCTTTCTTGGTGGTGGAGGTTTAGCCCCATGTGGGTGGAACTCAGGTCCCTCTTGGTACTGAGGGTGCAGGCCCAAGGGGGAGGTGCTGGGCCCCAGGGTGTTGGGGAAGGGCGCTGAAGACCCATGGGGGTGGCGCTGAGCCCTAGGGTTCTGTGAGGGGGATGCAGCCCCATGGTGGGGTGCTGGGTCCCAGGGTGATGGTGGGGGGAGGGGATGCAGCCCCATGGTGGGGCGCTGGGTCCCGGAGTGATGGGGAGGGGGGTGCAGCCCCGAGCAGGTGGCGCTGGGCCCCTGGGAGCTAGAGGAAGATGCGGCGGGGGAGGGGGGGCCTGCCTCGCTCACCTGCCTGGATCCGGTGACGCTGGTGTAATAGACCCTAATGGTCCCCATGCCCATGGTGAGCGGGCCGAGCCGCTCCCTCCCCGCCCGGCCCCTCCTCACTCACAGGCCGTCCGCCAGACGCCGTTGCTAAGGCAACGAACTGCCAACCGACTCGGAAGGGCCAGGTTCGTTTCTTGCTTTTGATTGGCCGATCCGGACTGTCAGTGAAAGTCAGCCCCGCCCCTCAGCTTCTGGCCTGCTGCTCAGGTCTGCGGGCTGGTGGTAGGATCGCGGAAGAATTCTGGGCGGGCGGGCGCGTGTACAGGAGAGAGCTCTGTTTTGCTAGGCCTGGTTGGGCCGAAGTGGGGAGGAGCAGCTATTACTGCCCGCCCGCCCGCCCGCAAGGGCAAAGCCGGCAGCTACTCACCTCCCCTTGCAGCGCCCTGGTTTGGGGAGCGCCCAACCCCGGCCAGGCGGCCTCCAGCCCTGCGCGGTGTCTTCTGGGCTCCCAGCAGCTGCCTTTCCTGCCCGACCCGCCACGCCTCCGTGTCTGTGGGGCACCCGCCCCTGAGAATTGCGAGTTTCAAGGAAGAAAAGGGCTGCCCCCATTGCCAGCCCTGTCATTTGTGGGCCCCACCACACCAGCAAGTGTGGCGCCCCCCCCCCCAAGTCCTCCTGTGCACACCAGGGCCCCAGGGAGGAGCTGAACCCCTTCAGACCCCCCTCATGTCCCCATTCCCAAGCAAGAAGAGGGCAGCCCCAGATGTGACCCTACAATTCACAGGGCTACTAAGCCAGAGTGGGGCTCCTCTTGGGGCTCAGATTTCAGCAGCCCCTGTCTGGGCCCATGTCTCACAGATACAACATTGAGCCTGAAGATCTGTGACATCCCGCAAATGCTCAGTGTCCCAGCAAAGCCAGCCTGGTGATTTGTGAGGCCCTATTTGTGTGTCTTTGTTTTTTTTTTAAGACATATGGGAATGTCACTCCAGCAAAAGAGGTTAGGTGCTAAAGAGATCTGGTTTTCTTTCCCAGCTGTGCACTGTGGACTTCAGAGCAAAATATCTGCTGACGTAATGCCAGTGGCTGTAATTGCTTCATCTCTGACTTTGGGCAATTTGTGTGACTTTTCCCCCATCTCTGAAATGGAGTAACAATGCCTGCCTCACAAGGAGTATTGTGAAGCTTAATTTGGTAATGTGCTTTGAGATCCCAAATGGAAGAGGGCTATTATAATTCAAAATGGTACTACCGTATAAATCCAAATTAATTTGTGCCTACTATATCTTTCTGATTTGCTACAACTTATAAAAAGGGAAGAGACAAGTGGGTTTTGAAGAAGTATAAGAGTAAGCACTAAAGAAATTTGTCATTTTTGTCTATGAAAAATGCAACTAGGCCTCAAAGGTAATGAGCAATTGTAGGAGTTGAAACAATACAGTCAAGCAGGTGGTGCAAGAGAGACGTGACTGTAGCACAACTAAAAATCTCATGAGGAAAGTATAGTTACGTTTACACTACTGGAACAAGAGGGGGCATCTGCATAGATTTATTTTATGAAAGTGATAGTTCATAGAATATCAGGGTTAGAAAGGACCTCACGCGGTCATCTAGTCTAACCCCCTGCTCAAAGCAGGACCAATCCCCAGACAGATTTTTACCCCAGTTCCCTAACTGGCCCCCTCAAGGATTGAGGTCACAACCCTGGGTTTAGTAGGCCAATGCTCAAACCACTGAGTTGTAGTAGTCATATTACTATCCTTGTAGAAGTAATGGACTCAGTTGTTCTTTTAAAACACAGCTCCATATTGGGGGATAGTGCAGAGGCATATTGCCTCCAGTGGAAATCCTGGAACAGTTGTGCCTCAGCTAGGCGTGATGCCTCCAGGAGTGTAAAAGAAGTTTACCAAAGAACAATCCTTCAACAGGCTGTAGGACACGCTCCTGTTCTGCATGTGGCCAGCTCAGCTGGCTTGTGTGGAGAGCACTGGGCCGTTGACAGATCACTACATTGGGGCACTAGGTCCCATATGGTAGCCTCCTCCCCATAGTCCGGTGGGCTTGAGAAAGAAAGAAAGAAAGAAAGAAATTTCAGTGAGGAGCCAGCCCAGGGGCCAAAGAAACTGAAGCCACAGGCATGAGCAGCATCAAGAAGATATTGCAGCTGGGGGTGGGGGGGGAGACACCACCCTTCCCCCTAGCACCCTCTGGACCCAAGACTATGCAGAGGAACTCCCTTTTGGGGGCCCATAATAAACACAAGGATTCTGATTGTTCCAACCTGAAAAAAGAAAGGTGGAAGGCTTCTTGCACCTTTCTGACTTTTATGCAGGGGCATGTCAAGCCACAAGCCTGGTATGATTTAGGGCTCAATCCTGTTTCAGTGGGGGAAAGGATCGGGCTCTTAGTGATTTTTATAGAAATGTGTGTGTTTGTTAATAACGTATACACTTTCACAATAAACAGGTAAACAGAAAAGGCCTCACTGAGAAATTGGAACGCATGGTCAGGTGAGCAGGCAGTTGCTTCAGGAACTGAGATGTATTTGAGGAGTTGAAAGAGATTAGGGCTGCGAAAAATGCAGTGTTGCTGGAGTGGGTTAAAGAGACAGATAGACCTACACCAGCTAAGTTTGAAAAATCAATCAGTGTAATCATTTTCTATTTCATATTCGTGTGTGTATAAAAGATATAGTCTTAGCTGAAATATGGGATATATTTTGATTTTTTGGAAAAGATTATGTTAAATCTCACCCTGAGCTGCTACTAATTATAATTTATTTTTAAGGCAGCACCATAGGTGTGCATGGCACTTTACAAGTAAATAAAAATGAGAGGTCTCTGCCTCAAGTAGCTTACAATCTGAAAAAGTCAATACTGCAGGAGATGACAATAAACAATGGGTGAAGACAGAGATATGGGAGAATGAGTCGCAACAGAGGAAGATCATAAGATATGCCTGTTTTTACCTGTTCATCATCTTGGCATAGGACCAGAAGGAAGGCTTCATTCTGTGTTTGCATTTTTCTTACCTGAGTTTCTAGAGTCAGATATCTTCAGATACCTCTTTCCTTATAAATTCTGTTTAACATTTTAGACTTGTAATTCAAAGACCTACACTAACACATTTATGTGACTTTATCACTGTTTACACTTCCACTTGTAATCTGCATTCACCTTCTCAGCTACCTTTAGTGTCTCCTTTACTACATTTTGTTAGTTTAAATATTGGGTATTTGTGGAGGCTGACACATTCCGGTGGAAAGATCTTCTTCCTCCCTCTTTGTGCTGCTGACTCCTTGGCACACTTTAATAGAAAGTTTAATTGTTGTTATCCTCCAAATTATTATTTTACTTAATCTGGTTGTGTGTTATCCCTGAATTGCATGGCTCTAATTCATAAACAACAGTACTGCAATTGACACTAATTTAGTAGTCTCAGTAGAGGAGCCCTGGAGTGAGTTGTATGGAATTTGAACTACCCCATCTGCTCTCAAAGTTAATTCCTCCAGGTCAGGGTTGAGGCATATTAATGAAGATGGAGAAATGCTTAATTATTATCAGCACTGAATCTGTTGTGTAGAAAGAGAATTTCACTCACGATGATGTAGTGGAGGAAATAGTTATTTCAAATAACCTTTAAATATTAGATTATTTTTATGAGTTCAGTTGGACTCAGCTCTATATTAAATCTGTTTCTTATATATTTGGTCCTGCCATGAGGGCAGGGGACTGGACTCGATGACCTCTCAAGGTCCCTTCCAGTCCTAGAGTCTATGAATCTATTCACTTAGAACACAGTATGGGTATATAAGAGAATAAATAATACAGCAGAAAGTATGCATTTCTGCTAGTTGGGGGTAAAGCAGTGGAGGATCTACACAGAATGGTTTCAAATCCGCATGTAAGCAGTGCACATGACAGGTAGTGAAACTCTTCAGAGGAATTTAGAAAGAGGAAATGGACAAGTCACTGACAAAGGAACATGGTTGATTATTTGGGTCATGCAAATGCAGATTCACATAGCCAAAACTGGACTATGTTGGTTTCTTCCCCTATATCCAGCAGTAGCTGGTAGTGGACAGATACAAGGATGCCAGGATTCTGGAACATATGTTGGAGAATTCTTTACGTTAACTGTGCTATTTTGAAGATCATTTCCTCCCAAAGCACTTTTTCATGATAAGGGCCTATGAGATATTGTAGTTGCCATATAGTTTACATGCTCTGATTTTTGGAGACTGGATTAATTTGGATTTTAATATTTGTAATGCATAATCCCATCTGTGTTAAAAATCCACATCATAGTCCAGTTTCTCACATAACCAACTTCACTTTGCACAAGACGAGAGCTGGAATGTGTTTGGTTTAGCTATCTCTAATTTCATTCAAATAAATGTTTGCATACAAGCGCATTATTATTTTGTATTACCTCAAAGTGTGCTAGTTGCTTTATCAAATACACAAAAAGACACGGTCTTTTCCTAGAAGAGTTTACATAAAGGATAATGTCTTTGCTGAAGAGGGGACAACAGTCATTCTAACAAGATTAGATTGGACAAAGAGGGAGGGCCAAAGTTATATAGGACCTTGCTTCTAGTTTATTTTAATTCATAGTTAGGATACATTGTCTGTAGTACTTTACTACTGAGCAATCAATAAATTGGTGGTTATTATTGAAATGTAAAAAGAGGGTACCACATTTACGATGTCCCATGTATTACACATCATTTGTGTGTTTCATTTCTACATTTTCCCTCCATCAGCATATGGGTAGTATTCTAGTACTTGCAAGACAATTAAATTCTTATTATCTGCCAAAGAGTAGGAAACTTGATAAGGGAACTAACCGAAAATTCTTTCGGTGCCTATTTATCTATTAACTAGTGCTTGAGAGGATTGTACAATGTTAACAAACTGCTTTCCTACTTGGAAATCCACATGACTTGTCAGTCATATCAGCTGGTCACTGACTGATCTGAAAACCAAAACCACATTTGTCTTCTGCAGTTCATGAGTTCTTGTTTGTTCTACAACTTGGGACTAGTGGCACTTTATATTTTGTTCTGTACTATCTCATTTGAAGGATTATGTTTTGTTAGTTTTTTTCCCATTTACCTGTGTAACCCACACACCTTCTGGGTATGGTGTTCTGTCCCATCTAGTGGCACCAACATCAGAGAGAGAAGGAGAGAGAGAGAGAGACTGCTAACAGCCAGTTGGCTTTTAGTTCATGCGGTAGAGGCTCATGCACTAAGCTCTAGAGGTCCCTGGTTCAATCCCGTCTGCCGACAACCGGCGTCTGTTGGCGAGGGCGTTAAACCTGATTAAACAGATGTCACAATATAATCTTAGTTCTGCAACTAAAGAAAGTACCACTGTGTTCTTGTAAAACAGCACTTTAATTTAAAGAAAAGGGAAGTAACTAAGATAGTGAAGGATAGACATTTCCCAATTTGCGGTCTCATTTTTCTATATCTGGAGACTCCTTGTAATGTATGTCAATGGAAAAAGATGTGAGGAGCTGAGGCACCCATGAATTTATTAAAATTTTAGTTTTGGAGAGTTTGCTATCCTGATTATGCCAAATGAATCTTTTGTGTACTTTAAGATACACAACATACTACACAGTCCATTCAGTGATAGGGCACTTGTCTGAAGCTATAAATTAGCTTCATATGTCCAATAATCCAGTTACAAATGGAAATGCTGCAGGAAGAAGAAGCCTTCGATTTTCCACAAAAGGAACTTCATTTCCAAGAAAATTTGAAGTTATCAATTTAACACTTGGCTATTCAGTTTCTCATACAGCAAATTACAGTCTCTGCCCCTGCTGAATCAAACCTAATGGAGAATTGTAAACTAATCCCCTGATTTTATATTTTCATTTTATCTACTGAAAAAATTAACTGCACAAGCAATATAAAATGGTAGAAAACAATATTGATTGCCTTGTCTGTGTATAGTATATTACAACATAATCCTGCAGGCTTCTGAGGGGCAGATATCTCAGAGGTTTCTGGGAGTTTTTACTGTGGGCCAGATTCTGATAACTTTACTCGCATTCAATTTTAGTACTATACTCAACAAATAGTCCCAATGGGACTATTCATTGGGTAAGAGTTTCAGAAATTGACATTCTTACTATTAGAATATATTAATTGTATTATGGTAGCACATTGGTGCCCCAGTCATGAAGCAAGACTCCATTTTGCTAGGCCCTGTGCAAATGCAGAGCAAAAAGAAACTTTCTTAACCAAAAGAATTTGTAGTCTGAGTAGATTGTAAGGACTTGGGAAAGATTGTCAAAGATATTTAGGTGCCTGAAGATGCAGATAAGTGCCTAGTGGGATTTTCAAAAGCATCTAACCTATTTAGGCCCTTGTATCCTTAGAAGAACCCTGTATTTTAAGAAATTAGTTCACCAAGTCCTTATGTGAAAAAGAGAAAACATATACAATGTATCTTTAGTGCTAGTGGATCTGTCAAAGGATCAGACGAATATCCATATATATTTAACTGTGGCCTTAATTTTATTCTTTAGGAGATGGGGTGAAATAGTTTAATAATTAGGCTCTTGGAACTTTACATTCTAAAGAAGCCAATAGTGAAGAAAAAACACTGATTTTTTTAAAACATTAATTCTTCATAGAATATTCTAGTTAGTATATTTTAACCCACTTAATGTGCAATCCATTATGATTATTTGATTGTCCATTTGATCTGCCTGATATCCTTTCATCCTTTGCATATTCACAGAGTCATGAGGGACTGACCTTCAGTAATGCTGAATAACCTCTGCTTGAACTGAAGTTACTAGGAACTGCAAGATCTCACCACCTCTGAAAATCCATCCGTGAAGCAATATGCTCTTGCCATCAGCAAGTGCAGGCAAACTTCTGAAAGTTCTCAGCTTTACTGCTCTTCATTGTAAATCCACATGCACAGATTAGGCCTTCTATTATCATAGAATTTTTATTTTTCTTAAAGAAGGTACATTTATTAAAATAACAAAGAAACAATGTAAGGGGTCAATGCCTCCTGCTGCCCCCATGTGACAGATATTCACCCTTGAAGGTCTCTCAAATCACTACAAAGAAAACCCTCTTTCAATGGGAAAACCTTGTTGGGGCACTGTTATTGGTTTAAAAGATTCCAGTCTGACCCCACTGCACGTCTTAACGTAAAGTCCTACAGATTCAACTTAAATCGATCTCACATGACTTCTCATCACTGTCTGTTTGTCCAGATTCTTCCTAAGCCTCATGCAACTCTCATTCTTGGTGCTAGACCACCAGATTCTCCCCCTTCCCAGTGTCCCCTGACTAATGAAGGGCTTACACGGTCCTTACCATCCTGAGGTTAAACCCTAGTCCCAAACAATTATAAACCACTTTGCCTGAATTTTTGTCTCCTCCAGGAGATTCTGGGAACCCTTTTCAGCCACAGCTTCCTCTGCCTCTTTAACCCCAGACAGGCCCTGTAAACAGACCCTCTCTTGTTGCAGCTTCCTCTTTATATAATGTGTTCTTAGCCCTTTCCCAGCTGAGACTAATAGCTCCAATTGAGTTAGTCCAGGTGTACTCAAATAGGCTAGATCAGCACCACACTGAGAAGCAGCTACCCAGTCCCAGGGGCTTAAAGGGACACATCCTGTGACAAAAAGCTTCTACCAAGTGGTACAAAGTAATGAGTAGGACGGGAAGGGTCCACCTCAGAGAAACATCAGCAATAGTGAAAGAAAAAAAGATGAACAATCTTATCCTTTGTTAGATATTTCTTTGGCACCAGAATCCTCAGCTAGTGTAAATTGGTGTAAATTCATTGGTGTGTGGCTCTTGAAGTCTGATAGACAAAGACACATTTTTAAACAGCCTTCAACCCAGTCTGCAAGTCATCCCACAGAAATGATAGTATTTAAACATTTAACTATGTGCTTGTAGTACAGATCAGATATTTAGATCTCTAAATGCTATAATATGTCATGGCAATTCATCGGAATGCAGAATTAGTCTGCAAATTTAGAGGCTAGTTTTGAAATTCAACCTTTAATTTGAGCTGCTGTTGCTAACCAATGAAGCTTACAATTACCGCTCCCTCCCCCCCCCCCAACTTGGAGGAAAGAGAAATGAGAAGGTGAGAGTTAGTTTTAATTTTAAAACAAAATAAGTTTCTAACCTTTTTCCTTGTAAAGAAAACCTAAGCAAACCAATCATGAGTTTTGAAAGCTTGTCACTGATTTTTTTCTAAAGATGGTATGTTATCCACAGTGCCTTGGCTTCCAGTCACCCATGGTTGTCCTTTAGGGTCTGGAGAAGCCGTAACCATGGGTTGTCTGATTATTGCGATGATCCCAGATCATGTCACAGCTGAGGTAGTCAGTGGTGCCCAGGTTACAGTTGATAGGACTAGGACACTGCAAACTGCCAGCTGTGTGCACTCTGGCTACAAGGAGGGACATAACAGCGTGATCTACTGGCTCTGTTCTGAGCATTACATTTTAAAAAACAATCTTTATACTTTTACCCTCACTTATGCATGTTCTGTACCTGCAAATGAAGAAACTTGTACCTACAAACATTTGCCTCTGCAAATCAGAGATACATCTAATTTAATAACTAAATTCCGTTGTTTGTAGATGGAAATGAGCAATAGAATGCTTGATTGCGTCCTTGCATTTTGAAATGTACTACGAGCATGGCCAAAGGTATCGAACGGAAATCTACTAGACACACTAATCTTTTAGTAATCTTAGTTATTTTTAGTTGACATATTGCAAAATTAAAAAGCAGTCATACTAGTTGTGAACATTACACCAGAATCAGGCCCATCCAGACTCATTTTTTACATCCTCTTTTGGATTTGGTGTCACTGCTTGTTTACAGACCACACAGTTTTCCACTGGTGACGGCACTTCTGTTTTAAAAATTGCACAAAAAGAGGAACAAAATTGTGTGTGCTCCAGTTATTGCTCACACTGTCTGAAGTGAATAAAGAGAATTTATTCTAAGGTTGCTGCAGCTGTAGTCATGGAATGTTAGGTTATGTGACTATCCACATCTTATACTGATTCTGAAAGGGTAAGTCTGGTTTACTTTAGTTTGTCTTAGCTTATCTTTTGTTACGGAATTTAGAGTCCCACTTATTTTGCTTAAAATAACTGAAAGTATATGTATTTATTTTTAAAGTATACTTGCCATATTTTTGACAACTTGCTCTAATACTTTGAACCAAGTGTTAGAGGCAAACTTTTCATAAGTAACTAAGGTCCAGCTCCTCAAAACTATTTCGGCACATATCTCCAATTGATTTCAATAGGAGTTAGGCACCTAAATACCTTTGCACATCTGGGCTTAACTCCCATTTTCAAAAGTGAGTCAGGCACGTCGTTGCCTAAGTCTCATTGACTTTCAATGAGATTTAGGCTCATAAGTGCCTGAGTCTCTTTTGAAAATGGCACCTGGGCACTTTTAAAATTTTTATCTTGCATCTTTGCTTGTGTGAGAGGTATTAAAAATAAAGTAAAATGGTTAAATTATTTTAACTGCTGAAGGATCTGTGTATTGTGCTTTTTCTGAGCACTGGTGTCATTCTTATGACATTTGAATTAGAGTGTGCTTATTAATATGTGGAGTACTTAAAATCAATTCTGCTTTGGAAAGAGTTATTTTAAGGGTTGGTTCTGGTATCACACCTGCTCTACAGAGGTGTCACTTTATATTAAACAACTATCCCCTTATTTAAACAGATTTTAAAGTGCTGATGTGAGCCCTGCTTGCCCAAGTCTGTCAATTCTGGGCTGTGAGGCTGTGTAGACATATCCTGAGTGCTCCAGAGATGCCCAAAGGGAGCAGCCCCCCTGTGCTGGGACAACATTGCAAAGGCATTCAAAGTGAAGAGGAGACTTTTGGTGTTCTCCTGCTTCATTCTCCCACATAAGGGTCAGCCACAATGTGGTCCTCAGTGAGTGTGGGTCAGAGCCAACTCCCACTGAAGTCAATGGAAAGACTCTTATTCATTTCAATAGGAGATGGATTGAGTCCTAAAGGCTTGCTCCATCTAAGTCAATTGGAGTTTTACCACTGACTCCAAAGGGTGCAGGATCAAGCCCTGTGTGAGCAAATACAATTAAAAGGCAAAGCCAAGGAATCACAAAATGTAGTAGCTAACTATTTTGAGATGTGTAGTTTAGTTTTTAATTATTCATGATAATATTTCATAATGTATTAGTGAACGAATGCAGTGAATTTAGTAAAATTCTGGACTCTTAGTAATACAAGAGCTCATTATAGTATCTGCTTAAATTTTGGCGAATAGTTCGGCAATATACCCAACATTTTTATGTAAATAAGCAAGATATTGCTGCAATGAGGGCTCAGTCCTGCAAGGTGCTGAGCATTCTTGGGAAGTGATGAACATCCTCAGCTCACACTGAAGGCAGTGGAAGTTGCGGCCACTCGGTATCTCACTGGCGAGCTCAACACCTTGCATGATTAGCCCCTTAGTTTACTAAAAAAAAGTGTGTAGAGGATTATCATCAGTCAGAACTTCAGCTGGTGAAATCAGTTGTTGCGCTGTTTCTTTCAGCAGCACTATTGATTTTACACCAGCTGAGGATCTGGCACAGTCACCAAATGAAAAAGACTTCATTGATTAAATCTTTCTAAGAACAAGTCATGTGCATAATGTAGCACAATGGTCACAATTCAGAAGAAGGGTCCAAGACTGAGCTGATATGGAAAATGAAGGATCAAATTATTGGCCTAACTCTTTTCTTTTTCAGAATGATTTTTATTGACATGATGGCTTTACTTTATCTGGCTATAAAAATGAAATTGGTGAAAAAGCAATTAAGTTACTGTTTGTTAAAATAAAAAATGCCCCACACATTGCAGTCTGCATGAAGCATACATTTTTAAAAAAACTTTTTATCAATTAAGGATAAAATAGCCCTTACTGTTATGCTTATTTTGCATTACCTTACATGGCTTCTTTGTATTTGCAGGAATATAGTGAACTTTGCTGGTTAGTGAGTCTCTAGCACTGATCAACATGTTGGCAGAAGGCATCCTAACTGGAATCATATACAAAGAAAGAAAACAGAACATAGATAAACCCCACAAATGTCACAGAAAAGATGAAAGGGAAACCTGGAAAGATCACCTTATAGATACACCAGCAATTAAAGATTTTGCTTCAGAATCTGAGAAGCAGAATGAGATCATTGCAAAAGGTAGCAAAATTGAAAATAATAAAGAGCTTCAATGGAAATCTAAAGAAGAGCTACCTGCAAAAGAACATAGTGCACACATTAAAGGAACAATATCTAAAGCTTTACATATACCAGGAAGAGAACAAATTCATGACAACCAGGTGGATTTGTATAGATCCTGGTCATGCCACAGTATTTATCAAAACTATCCTGACTTACATATTGGAGGAGACCATGTAGGAGGTTATATGCGGGATTCAGGTTGCATTATGGACCACATAAGTGATGAACTTGTTGATGGCCCGGTTTTATTGTCAGGAGATATTCTATTGGGTCATTCCCCCCAAAATGAGCCTCTTGAAAAAACAGCTACAAAGTCCTTGAATGGTGATGAAGGTGGAGAAAGGAGTATGACACTCCACAAGCAGCCTCTTTCAAATTCTGTGCTGAATAACTACATGGATACAAAGGTGGAAGAGCTCTATAAACAGTTTTTTGAAGAGAACCTGACCAGGTGTGGTTCTGTAACAAACCTCCTGACTTCCAGTTTGATCATGAATAACCTAAAACAGATAAACCTTCAGATCTCCCAAGAACAGACTATAGAAACATGTAAAGCTAGAGAAGTGCTTTTACATTCTCTAGCTTTGTTTAGTTTCCGCAATGCTGCCAGTGGAAACAGCTCTGAATTTAGCACTCCAAATTTACAGTTCTCAAACTCACTAAGCAAGAGAAAGAGCTCCCGGGTACAGTTTACATCATGATTGAACTGTTTGGTTACAGCAGTGGTTCTCAAACTTTTGTACTGGTGACCCCTTTCACACACAAGCCTCTGAGTGCCATCCCGTTATAAATTAAAAACATTTTTTAATATATTTAACACCATTATCAATGCTGGAGGGAAAGCAGGGTTTGAAGTGGAGGCTCACAGCTCGTAACCCCCCATGTAATAACCTCGGGACCCCCTGAGGGGTACTGACCCTCAGTTTGAGAACCCCTGGGATACAGCCTATTTTTCAGCTGCGGTCTCTTTTCTTTCAGGATTACTTTGTGAAATGTACCAAATTAGACACTACTGACTTCTTAAAATAAATTTTGACATTTAAACCACACTTTGTCTGTGGTACCACTCCATTGCTTGTTACCGGACTAAAATAAAGATCATGTGTCTTTGTGTGGTTGAATGTAATCCAAATGAAATTTTTATACAAAATCCTATTGAGCTAAATTTTCAAAGTGGCCTAAAACCAGCTTCTAAGAGTCCAGCCCCGCCAACACCTAGTGTGTGACTAATTATACATAGGACTAGTACTTATGCAGTCAAAGTTAGTCACATGCATTAATGTTGGTAAGATTTTGCCCTAAGAAATTAATCCAGAACCCAATGAAGTTGATGGTTAGACTCACATTGATTTCAGTGGTCTTTGGATCAGGCCATAAATTTTAACCCATAATTTTGTGCATTTAAATTTAGAGGTTGCTATTGCAGATTTCACCCATTATGTCTGAGAAAATGGCCTTCTGTTTTGAAAATCCTGTTTAACAATTTGGTTTATTTTGCATAGCATCTTACATATATCAAATGTATATAAAAATGTTTATCGGAGAGGAAAATCAATGACAATACTCTATAGAAGGATGAAATGTGCATTTATATGAGGTTAAAACATGTTTTGTATTATACAGGTAGAGTACATTACAATGGAAAACTACAGATACATTAGCTTCTAAAAATTTAAATAGGTCAAGTTTATAAAATGTTAAAAATATTTCAGTTACTGTAAAGGTGACATTTCTATTCATTTAAAATGTCATTTACTTAAATAAAAGTTTCCATATATTAGACAACAAAATCCACTCAGATTCCCAGAATATATAAAATGATTACTTCTGCCTACCATTTGCATTTTAAAAATAGGACTCCTTATTGTGTTTTTCTGAAAAATACACCCTTATGACCTCAGCAAGTTAAGAGTGTGTTGCAATGTTACTGAAAGGCAAAGATATTGCAAGTTTTGTTCCTATTACCCTAAATCAGTAGTTCTCAAAGTTTTATACTGATGACCCCTTTCACCCAGCAAGCCTCTGAGTGCGAACCCCCCCCCCTTATAAATTAAAAACACTTTTTTATATATTTAACACCATTATAAATACTGGAGGCAAAGTGGGATTTGGAATGGGGCTGACAGTTCGTGACCCCCCATGTAATAACCTCGTGACCTCCTGAGGGATCCTGACCCCCAGTTTGAGAACCCCTGCCCTAAATGTTACATGCAGATTTCATTACGAAAATTTGTTCACTTTGCCTGCAGCCATCATTTCCTCCCTGCTGGAAATGTCTTTTGTTGTAAATTATCACTATGTTGATATTATACTGTGATGAATGAACGGAAGTTTGATATCTCAATTGTACAAGCAAGTTTTCTCTCAATGGGTAAGCTACTGCTCTGACTCACACCAAAACCAATGAGGTAATTTGAGGCACCTGCAGTTCTGTGCCTCCAATCCTGAACTCAGTGGATTTACCAGTGTAAATGCTAGCAGAAAAATGTATTTAACCTTTCTGCCTAACGATAAACTTTCAGAATGCATGCTGTACTGGTAGTTAAATAATATTATTCAGAGTTACTGATGTCAAGCAACACCCAGGTATGGGACACTGTTTTATAAATTAGTGCTTCTCAGTGAAATTTAATATGTAGTAGTCAATGTAAAAGTATTTTTTTCTTCTGAAACATTTGCTAAACAGTGTAACACACAGATTCTAAATCTGTCACTCCTCAAAGGGAATGTGAAGGATCTTGTGACATTTAAGTAATAATATATCAAATGCTAATATTTTTGTGTTTATAAATCAAGATCCTTTCCATCTGATTGGTACTTTGCAAAGAGCAAAGTGTTTCTTACCTAGCATCTTTATTTATTTAAAAAAAATCATTTGTGATTTTGTTGCAAGTCACAATGAAAATATCAGCAGGCTTGAAAGAACAATATCAGATGAGAGACACTTGAATTCATAAAGGGTCCAGTCACTTACTCAAGTGAGTTATCTTCATTGGTACTATTCACATTAGTTCAGGCTTCAGGACTGGGCTATAATTTGAGATTGTCAATCCCTTGGCCTGTAGGAATCAGGTAACTTGCAGAAATAGTGTAGTTGAGTTTCAGTGGAGCAGAATGAGAGCCATATCTTAAGTATCTCTTTTTAAAACTGGTTCATAGCACAGCATGGCATGATGGTACTAGAGGTGGAATTAGCTGGCTGAAAAGTGCAGTTTTGGGGGCAAGTTCATATTGTATTCAGCAAATAGCTTTGGTTGAAAAAAACGATTTTTTAAAAAAGTCTAACCATTTCATTTTGGCATTTCTGGAATGAAGCATTTTGACTTTTCATTCCAAAATAAGCTTTTGTTTTGAAAATTGCCAATTTTTTAAAAGACTTTAAAAAGGGGCTAAAACCCCCAAAGTGAAACTAAATATTTGTTTTGCTGAGAAACCTAAAAAAATTCCATTTTGAATCAACCCAAAACAATTTTATTTTTAAAAAAATTGGTTCAGTCAGTATTTGTCCAGTTCTAGATGGTACAATTAGAGGATTCTGCACCAACTTTCTCTTATAGGACATGGTTTCAAATAATCTGCTAACTATATAGCTGGTCAAATAGTGGGACAGAAAGCATGAATATGTCATAGATTTTAAGGGATCATCTAGTCTGACCATCACAGGCCACAGAACATCACCCACCCACTCCTAGAGTACCCCTCAACTTCTGGAGGAGGAGGGATAGCTCAGTGGTTTGAGCATTAGTCTGCTAAACTCAGGGTTGTGAGTTCAATCCTTGAGGGGGCCCATTTAGGGATGGGGGCAAAAATCTCTCTGGGGATTTGTCCTGCTTTGAGCAGGGGTTTGGACTAGATGACTGCCTGAGGTCCCTGATATTCTGTGATTCTGGCTGAGTTACTAACGTCCTCAAATCTTGATTTAAAGACTTCAAGTTAAAGAGACTCCACCATTTACCCTAATTCAAACCAGCAAGTGACGTGTGTCCCATGCTGCAGAGAATGGTGAAAATCCCCAGGGTCTCTGCTAGCCTGACCTGTGGGGAAATGATCAGTTAGACTCTGAGTAAAATCCACCAGCCAGAGACCTGGGAAAGAATTTTCTGTAGTAATTCAGGGCCCCCATCTCTGGCTGTCAGACATATTTGCTAATAGCAGTTATGGATGGGCCATATGCCATTGTAGGCAATCTTATCATACCATTCATTCCATAAACTTTACCAAGCTCATTCTTGAAACAAGTGAGGATTTTACCTCCACTACTCCCCTTGGAAGGCTGTTCCAGAACTTCACTCCCCTGATGGTTAGAAACCTTCATCTAACTTCAAGCCTAACGTTATTGATGGCCATTTTATATCAATTTGTTCATATGCCAGCATTGACCCTTAATTTAAAGAAGTCCTCTCCCCCGTCCCCTCTGATGCATAGGCGCCGATTTCCCCTTTGCCTGGTGGGTGCTCGACCCCTCCCTGCCCCGGCCCCGCCTCCCAACGCCTCTTTCCGCCCCTGCACCACCCTTGTCCTGCCCCCATTCCACCCGTGCCCCAAAGTCCCTGCCCCCCATTCCACCTCCATCCCCCAAGTCCCCACCCCTGCCCTGCCTCTTCTCCGCCTCATCCCTGAGCGTGCCATGTCCCTGCTCCTCCCCCTCCCTCCCAGAAAGTCCAAAGCGCTGTCAAACAGCTGTTAGGCGGCAGGGCGGCAGGAAGCGGAGGGGGTCGGGGGAGCTTGGCTGCCAGTGGGTGCAGAGCACCAGCTAATTTTTCCCTGTGGGTGCTCCAGCCCCAGAGCACCCACAGAGTCGGCGCCTATGCTCTGATGTATTTATAAAGATTTCATTTCACTGAGTCTCTTCAAGTCATCAAAACTAGTCTGGATGATTCAGCTGAATGCATGTATTTGATGTCTAATGCTCGTATTCAGTTGCAAATACATGTATTTGACATCCAATATGTATATTCAAACTACTCACTTTGAGATCAAATTTTAAACCTCAAACACTGAATACATCAGGAACTGTGCAGAAACTTCAGAGCTATTATTTGTTAATTTAATAGATTCCCATGTTATGGGATTGATTTATAAAGGGTTTGTGAAGCAAAAAAAGAAAAGAAAAGATATAATTCACTCAATTTTGTGTTTAGGAACTACTGTTTGACCAGGTGAAACTGGGGCAGGTGACAATAAAGAGATAGGCATATAAAAATATAACAACAGCCACATTATTAAATTAACTATGTGTATGGTGAGATTATTCAAAAACAATTAGGGTTGCAATTTCCTCCATGCTCAGTTTGGAGGTCTCGTGTTTGAGAATCTTAGGAGAAAGGCCAGGTTAACATTAGGTGTAGTTTTTGATTTCATTTTACATCTGATGATGTTTTTGAACACTTTTTTTTCACTGAAGATATTAAAATTTGTGGGTGAGATCATAACGCCCAAGTCATTGGACTTGAAGTCAAAGGAGCTATGCTAATTTACCTCAGCTGAGGATTTGACCCACTCATCTTTCTGTCATTCAGTTTATTCAATTTAGGTGTTTTCTTTTTTAATTTCTTAATTATACTGATTTAATTTTTTTTTAAATGAAGCTCTACAGTTTAGGGGCAAATTTTCACAAGAGTTAATCCAAGCCTAATGAATTGCCCCACAATTTTATGAATGTAAAAAATAATCTACTGATCCCTTTTATACTGTCACCCATCACTGTAGTATCTGAGCACCTTCCACATGTGATTAGTAGCAATATTAAATTCCGTAGTGGACTTCCTGGAGTAGTAATAGAACCTAGATGCCTGACAGTCTGATCAATTCAGGTATTCAGGTGTCTGCATTTTACTATTTGTGTTTGTAAGTGATTGCACTTAAAATTGCAGGCACAAAACAGCAGGTGCCATTGTAGAGGCTGTTTTTGAAAATATGACCCAAATGTTTATAGCCTGAAGTAGATCTGAGCTCTCACTTTTATAGGTTGAAGTAGATCTGAGCACTCACTTAAAATATGATATGAAAGGCTTGAGACATCTCTTAGCCAATCACATTGAGCAATTTGTTGCCTTATTACAAAACTAAATAATGGCCTTATTGCTAAATGGTATGACAGAATCCTCTTTTAAGAAATACCCCATTAAATTTGATATGATGGTGAAAAAAACATCTGTAAAAACTGCATGATTAAGCTAGGAAAATATTAACCTAGCAGCTTTCCCTAGTAAATAATTCCTTGTATACCAGTGCTGCTTTTTTCAAATGTTCCACCTACCTCTTTTCTATTTATAACTAAGATAAGCATCTGATCTTGACAGAATTGCGGCTGGGTTCTGTTTTCTTATTTCCTGAAAGGGAAGTTAACCAGTTTCTTGCACAGCAAAATCAATTTGGGGAAATGAAGATATCCAAATAAGAATATAAGAATGGCCATACTGGGTCAGACCAAAGGCCATCTAGCCCAGTATCCTGTCTTCCAACAGTGGCCAATGCCAGGTGCCCCAGAGGGAATGAACAGAACAGTGATCATCAAGTGATCCATCCACTGTCATCCATTCCCAGCTTCTGGCAAACAGAGGCTAGGGACACCCTCCCTGCCCATCCTGGCTAATAGCCATTGATGGACCTATCCTCCATTAACTTATCTAGTTCTTTTTGAACCCTGCTATAGTCTTGGCCTTCACAACATCATCTGGCAAGGAGTTCCACAGGTTGACTGTGCATTGTGTGAAAAACGACTTCCTTTTGTTTGTTTTAAACATGATTATTAATTTCATTTGGTGAGATCCTTTTGTAACTCTTCACAATCTGCCTGGGACGTAATTATCTTGAGTAGTTTTGTATCATCTGCAAATTTTGTCACCTCACTGTTTACCCCTTTTTCCAGATCATTTATGAATATATTGAATAGGACTGATCCCAATACAGACCCCCCGGGGACAC